GGCTCCTGAGACATTCCGTTGTTTTCGTCCAGCGGTTTGCGGACATCCGCGCCGTCTCACACTCGGCTCACTACCAAAAGGCGCCCCATCTTTGCTTCCTTTTTCTCCAGACCGCGTCTACGTGTGTTCTCAAGCCTCGCTGGCAAAGGAAACGGTCGCGACGGCGTCAGCGTTGCCTCTCGCGCAAAGGGACACTGCGGGGGATCTGCGCGCCTGCGTCAACTGGGTAAACTGAGTTGAGGCTAGACGGCCATAGTCTGGGCTGACTTGAGGCGTTCCTAGTGTAATAATCGCCCTTCCACAGTGCTTGGACCAACCACTCCAGTCCCCCAAACTCCGTATTGGTGTTCCTCTTAAGCAACGATCGACATTTCACCCCCGGGAATTTTCTCAAGTCCCGCGGCGCCGTCTTCATCTCTAGATAACATGGATAACGACCAAGACTAAAACAGTAAGCACTGTCTCGGTGAGCTCGGCCAAATTCACTGGCAGGACAGGGGCTCTTTGCAGGAGGAATGGGCGAATCTTGAGGCGGGCATAGCGGGACTCTATATGGAAAGACATGTTCGAGACAGCCACAGCGGAAAGCCGATGAGACTCGGATTCCCTAGACAATCTTGCCTCATTTACATGCCGCCTCTATCGAAGCACTAGACCAAGGGAATGGAAGGCAAGGCGTGTTTAAGGTATGCGGTACGCATTCAACCAGACCACTGCGCCATGTCTCATCTGATTAGAAAAGAGTCGTCACAGATACAGATACTGAGGTCGTAGTGCCGACGCGCCGTTGTGAACTTTCGATCCAAGGGGGAGGAGAGGGGGGAAGTGGCGGTTTTCAGGACCTATCTGAGAATGGGCATGCTCACAAGCAACAGCATGGTTTCGACCGTGTTCGACAGCACAGAAGAAGACATATCGTTAGCTGGCGTTTCGTCCCTAAATCATATCGGCATCGTCCTCGTGTCGTCTCATGTGCGAGATCTCCATGATCGTCATAGATCATCGTTGTCATCGTGCTGTCGTCCCTTCTCCCACGAGGATTCAACATCGCCCGAAAGCTTCCCCAGACTGCTCCACCCCATTTTGTTTACCAAGCCGCAAGAAGCAGGCACTGCTGCACTGGCAGGCAGGCCGCCAGCGTGCTCCGTGACCATTCAAGTTCGGTAAAGGCAGCGGCGGATTTACCGCGGGATTGCTGATTAGTGCATATGCAAATGCTCAGCAGGCACTTCTGGGAACAAAGTTTGCGCCAAAAGCGCAGGGCTGCGCAAGGTGCAGGTTGGCGCATTGGAATACTTTGGTCAGCGCATTCCACTAGCAAACGGTTTGGCGCCGGGGGACGTTCGGAACGACGAAGTAAGTTCTCGCAAGCTTGCAAGTTGCAGGGAAGATGACGGAGCAACTGTGCCGTCTCCATGACTGAGCGAGTAAGTCAAGCTTGGCAGGCCATGACTGTTGAGTGGTGTTGAGAGTGACTCGAACAGCACCTGACAGCTATGGAGGCACGGAGGTATCTGTATAGCAAGGACGAGAGGGATGGCAGGATATTGTGAGTTCCTGCTGAATTCCAGATCTGAAGCATCTGTAAGGGAGGATGAGTGTGGACAAGGAAGGTATGGAGGGAGCGTTGGCGCGGGGGTTGCACGTCGTTGTATTGGGAAGGCCTTGTCCGAATCAAATTTGTGTCTGGAAAGCCTCATCCTCAAGGACCGACCCGGAGAACGAGAGTGGCAAACCGCAACAGCTGTGTGCGATAACGCCGGGCACGGGGCTGGCTGCGCAGGCCGGTGCATCCGCAAATGCAAATGTGAAGGCGGAAGTGCGTTTCGGTCGATATCTCTCGAATGACAGTCGAAAAGTTGTTACGGGGATGATCTGAAATGCTGGGACGAAACAATTCCGGGGAAAGAAAGTTAATAAACTCGGGGTACACAAGCTGGGGCGTTCCTATTCGGTATGCATCCTTCATTCCATTTTACTCAAGGTGAGAAAGAGGGGGGTATCCGTACTTTTGTTACTTTTGTAGGTACCTTACATGGAGATGACCTGAGTAGGTATGTATACCTACGTGCCTGCCTGTGCACATATCAGACGGAAGGTGGAATCGGGGGAAGGTTGAAAGGGTGATGTAGCACGGTAGATAATTAATTGGGAAAAGGGGAAAGATCGCAAGGTGACCTCTTGCTGTTTCGGAATAAGAGGTAGGCGAAAGCAGGCTCGCAAGGGGCGTTTACGTCATTGAGTGTTTCGAAACATATCCCACGATGCCCCTTCCACGCTCGGTTTCCCCCATGTTTGGGGGCGTGAAGATGCGGCAAGCACAGCCAGCCCTACCGAGTACCGAGAGCTCCGTACGCATACACCTGCCTCGACATCAGATGTGTATGTACGCTAAGAGGTGTCAGATGTCTGGTACCAAGGAAAGAAGCGTGCCTTATTCAATGCTTTGCCTAAGGTAGGTACGGATACCTGTCTTCAGAATAGAATATAGCTGCCCTGATTTCACGGTAAGGAAGGAAGTAATTAAGAATGAAATCACCCGACGGGAATGAGTGCACAACTGTTCAGGGCAGCCGCCCGGAAGCCTCGCCTTCCTCTCCCGCCTTACCTTACCTTAGGTAATTAATTAGGAACCATCTCGACAACATCCGTCCGATTTTGACAACACTGACCTCATGTCATCCAACCTCACCACTGAGAAAGCGAAAAACCACATTTGCCTTTCTTAACGCCAACGTCTGTCTCCTACCAGGTCAAACCCATCCCCTCACCCCTCAGCGCGAGTCGACCACATCGGATCAAGATTACATGGCTATGTCCTGTCAACAGTACCCTGCCTTTCGAGTTCCATCCACAACAAGTCTGAGCAATGATGGCATCCGCACGCTCACCATGTACTTCATCGTCGATGCTGTCCAGCGCTGACTTCACTTTCTTGTTCCCCTCCAAAGTTCCTCGTTCGCGGCTTTGACCAAGGTGGACATTTCCTTCGAACTATCCCCTTTCTCGGCGCTAGTCAGTCCACATTTACTTGACCTCAGCATGACGCCGCCGCCTAGTAGCTCCATGCTATTCTGTTCTTGTCCTGACCGATTCGCACCGTTACTCGCGTGCTGGCACAAGGCTTGCCGGCTCCAGCAATCCCGCCATTAAAAGATGCAGCTACATGGCTCGCGACCCTGCCTCTTTGGCCTCTGCCATGGCATTTGGGCTTTGGCCTTTCCCTCTGCTCTTACGGCCATGTCCTTCCATGGCATTAAACTGGAGCTACGGGATCAACACGAACATTCCGATGCTGCCAGGGAGACGTTCGTCCCGTCTCGGTAGGCGTTGCTCAGGGCGTTTGGCTGTCAGCCACAAGTCGTCTGCAACAGGATACGCGCGTCACCTGTCATTCGCTCCACCATCTTCAGAAGCTGAGAAGCTCACACAACATACAACCGAGCTTCCGACGTTGACTACAACACGTCTGAAGGCCTCTCGGTTTTGCCTTTCCCCCCTTTTTTCAGGAACGGACCACGGATAGCACACCGCCGAACACGAGAGAGACATGACAGGATGGGACGGGATCAATCGCTCCATCTCTCCCCGGCCTTCCATAGCTATTTCGAGCCGGCTTCCAACACTACAAAAAAAACCTTACATGATACCTGAGCGCGAGAGAGTGCTGGTAGTTCAGCGGCTCCATCTCGCATCCTGCGCATCCTGGACACGCTGGCTCTCAGACAGATGCCGCTTAGCATCGTCAAAATGGCTGCTCCATTATTTCCAATGCAACCGCACACCCGCAAAATGCGAGAACAGGAAATTTCGACTTCGAGAAACCATGTGCCAACCCACTGCTGGCCATCTATCTGGCGACGACGCTCTGATGGCCCCACATAGAAATCCAAATCAATGCCTGTTCACAGGGTTATCGAATTGCATGGCTTCGAGCAGCAACATCAAGTCACCAACAGCACCTCATTTCTCAATAACAACAGCAGTATCCGTACGGATATGCAAGGCCTCCCTCCTCCCCCCACAGGTATGTCTGTAGTGTAGCAGCACGCAGGACACGCCTAGCCGCTAAAATCTTCAGCTAGGGCTTCGCTGCCGTCCCGGACCCTAGATAATCGAGCCTTGGGGGACAAGAGAAAACGACCAAGCGGCCAACGGCCAGCGCGCATCCTGTCATGTTTCTATTACCATTTCTCACCACTGGCGCGCCTCACGGCTCTTCCTCGCTCTAATTAAGCCTCCTCGATCAACTCTAGGAGCACAGAGACAAGAAACAACACGATGGTACTCTGCGCTTCAGGCACCCCAGGCACAGGAACCTTGACAAAGTGAGGCTGGCACGGCTGGGCCGTCTGCAGGACAACAGAAAACGGTCATGATCGACATTCCCCGCTGTGGGCTGCAGAAGAGCCAGGATGATATAATGCGCTACTGTCGATTCCAGTATAGCGTCTCCATACAGTTCAATGCCAAGGGAGCTGTCTGGAGTCTCTCTGGATTGCTTGATTGCTTTGGAGAGACAAGAAGACCCGCCTTTGGGGAATCCATGTCGATTCTGAGACATTCCCTGGTCAATTCAATCAGCAAGGGGTAGGCTGCTTGATCGCTATGCTCTCCCGTCTCCTCCGCTCTCGCTCGCAGTGCACACTCAGACGGCAGCCAATGCGCACCCCTTTACATAGACGCACTCCTTTCATAACAACTATCGCCAAGGGTGCTTTTGATGAGTTTCTCGTACTCAGCTGCCGCGATGTGCCTGCACTGCCATCCATTTTCGTCGAATCCCACCTGGCCTTACACTAGGCAACCCTATTCAACCCCGTCCTCGACATTGCATTTTTTCCCTCTCGAACTTTAATCCACCACCAACGTTGCACCCGAGGCGCTGTGGGTCGTGCCCTCACTATTGACCATCACCGACTTTGGCAGGTTGCAAACATCCACTCTGATTCCGCACAAGCCCGGCCGCCCGCAGCCCGCTCATCCGCTTGGACGGTAATATGACAGATTGCCTACAGATTCCGGCCGACAGAGAATGTTTCCTTCAATGCGACCCTGTCGTTGTTCTGGGAGAGAAGATCAGTCAGGTGCCGTTCCGCCGCCGGACTCTGGGCGGTGATCGGCGCCGTCATCATCTCGGGTATCTGGATCAGGTGGCACTCCACGCTCAACTGCACCTCATTGACGGCTCCATGAATTCTCCTGTGCGTTCGGCCCTACTCAATGCCGTTGACTGCCAGAAGCTTTGGGGGCCAGGCTTAATCATCCCGTGGCTCACCGAGCCGTCGCGCCGTTTTCCAATAGACTCATTGCTCGGTCAAGGGACGAGCGCGGCTTTCTCGTGTACGGAGTACGGATGGATAGCCGGCTGTCGTCGCCACCTACCATCGGGTTCTGCATGTGGAGAGGACGCGTTCGCTCCCCTTGAGCTGATGGAGCCGGGTCTCGTCGGGTTGCCTGCCATGGAAGCTTTTCCCAACCAGCATGTCCCACTCTCAACGACAAGAAATCATCATGTCGAGATCCCACTCCATCGACGAAGCCATTTCAAAAACTGCTGGATCAGCGCTGAGGTGCTTGTCAGTCTCCGCTACGTTGGCTGGTTGGCACGTTCTCAGACTTCGAAGTCTGTTCACTCACCTGGGTCCCCGGGCTCATCGGCGACCTTAACGTTGCTGCTATCAACACTTTGGGCATGGACCTCCCATGTCTAGCGTGTTTCAACTGTCTCTTTCGAGGTTACCGCCAATTGCCATCCTTTCGAATAGGGCATAGTGAGGCTTTGATTTGAGATGAACGCTGGGGGCAATCTCGAGAACCTTGTCGCAACTCTCCATGTTCCGCATATCCCATTTCGCTCATTCCGAAAACACCACCATCTGATCATCTTCTTCGGGAAAGGACCTGCAGAGTTGACCCAGCAAAGGCTGTTGAGTCCTCCAAAGACGGCTCATCCTCATCCAACAATTCCTTGTCTGTCGGCTGTTGCTGGAAGGTTTATTGGGCCAGTCTCCCAAACCGGCGTTCCATCAGGCAGGGTTGTTCCTGGCCGATCATCTGCGGAACTCTACACACTGGAGACTATCGTCCGGGGATTTTATTGCCGAAGAGAACTTTACACTTCAGGCCTGGCTCTGCCCAGGCTGCCAGGGTCTTCAGCCGACAGATGGCCTTTGAGCTGAGGACCCCACCTGCCATCTCCTAGGCCCTAGGGACCCGGGTCGTGATCCAGAAGAATTCAAAAAGAATTATCCGTTATTAAGAAGATGGGTTCTTGTTATCGGCTCCAGGGAATCCGTTTTTGGATGGGGGCCAAATGAAGCCATCTCTATTGGGCTATCACGGCAGATGTTATTTGCCACTTCTTCTTGTCTTCGGACCTTGCCACGAGATGGAAGCTCACACGAAAGTTTTGGGCAGTTCCACGGTGATTCCACTAGTACATGGACACTCGCCTCTGAACTGATATCGGGCCGCTTTTGATTGCCGCGAAGAAGTCGTCGAAGCGCCAACCATCGTGCCAGCGCAGCCTCTGCTTAGCTTCTAAGCCTCTTCGGAACGTGGAGGTTACTTGAAGTGTTGCTGTTGACACAGGAATCTCAGTTCGGCATGTCTTTGAAACAGAGGCCAATGATGATTGGCTGCCTTGAACCGTTGCAATCAAGGAGGCAAAATGCTCATCAGGGTCCAGCTTGCGCACTAAGCACGATTAGATGACACTAGGGGATTGTGTCAGAGATTAGTCTGTTGCGGGCAATGGGCACTTCGTGACCGCTCTTCAATATCCCGTTTGCCCCGGTCTCTGCTAGGGAGGCGGAGAAACAACCGGGGTTGCAGGAACGTTCCGCACTCTCAGAGTCCTAGCTAGCGTCGCGACACCGGCCATGGGCAAAGAGCGAATCGTGAGAATAGAGCGGTTGAATTCGAGGGCGTCAAAGTGTTGGTGTGTGGCACTTGCAGAGGCAGCGGTCGTTGTCTGGCTGCAGCGGAAAAGCTGCTAGTGCGGCGCCACTCCCATCACCCGTCATCTCCCTGAAAAGGAACGGTGGATCATCTCCCCTGTATATCCTTGCAGATTTTGTGGATCTTGTCTCTGGTGCAATCAAGTACCGAGTTCCTCTGTTTTCCTTTTTTTTTGCTTTCCCTTTTTGCCCTCTCTCTCTCTGCGGACACCTACGCTAATCCTGCCAGCCCCTGCTATGCATCGCATTGGGGATAGAGGACATATTCCTAGGCAATGCCAACCCTCACTCGGACCTCAGGCATCGAAGATCCGGGAAGCCGCGAGACATTGCTGCCAGGCCTTGAGTGTTTACACTCCAGAGTGTGCCTCGATCTCCGTATCCCATGTTTGTTGTAAGGGACACCAATAAACTGAGAGTCAAGGGGAGTGTACGGAGTATACATCGACATGTTGAGCATACTTTTTTGTCCGGAAGGCGTTTGCGACCCATCATTTCTTGGTGATATTTATCAAGAGAGCCTTCCAGACCTTCAAATATTGCCAAGCATCTCCATCTTCGCAATAGCCCATGGTGGATGCTGTCCAAGTTGGGTATGGAATTTTCCTGAGAGATGAAAGATTCTTGGTGTGGAGAGCAATGGGGGCCTTAACGGCAGCTTCGGGTGGAGGACGGCACCCTGCAGACACGGCGAGACGGACACTTTTCCTGCTCAACACGTGAAGAAAAGAGATCTTTTGGGTTATTCTTCCACGGGCAATAGCTAAATCTGCGCGAGGCAGACGATGACATGTGGTGCGCTGGGAAACGTCTGGAGAAAGGGCAACATCTCCACTTGCGCCATTGTAGGATGGATGAGGGGCAGCGTTGATCGAGGGTACCCCGGATCGTTGATGTAATTGCTGGGCCGTTTGGATGCTGACAAGCAATGCCTGGCCGGCTGGATGGCCGACCAACCAATGCTGCCAGATTATGGTTTCTCGTCCTCGTCGTCCAGCATGCCGTAACTCAAACACGAGAAGGAAAGAATCCTGATTATGGGAAGGATGGAAAGAGGCACGCTACGTCAGTCAAAATCCACTGGCCTCACAGACGACACTACCACCCCCCATGCGGTTTACCTCTGTCAACCCCCGTCATACTCGACACAGGCCCAAGGCCACATGAACCGTAGCCACCTTGGGAGGTTCACTGCCTCATCCCAGACGAGTAAGCTGGCACCCGCGTCATACATGTAACAGTATGGATATTCTGTGTGTCCTAGATGCAGCCACGGGAAATGTCATTATTGACGCGATTTCCGTACATCCATCATGGAAGGTGTTCCTTCATATTAGAGAGCGAACAAAATTCGTCATCAAGAATCCAGGCTCATGTTTGCATGCAAGCCATTGGAAAAACAACGTGCAATTCATCAACCAGAGATCGGTTCTTTGGGAGCGGATCATATGAGAAACGCATACGATGGAAGAGCCAAGCACTTGACTTGAATTAACAGTAGCTATGGCGGCAGCTTATCGGAGCTGTACGTATATACCGTTTGCTTGTTTCGTGGTTGGTAGCACCGGGTTGGTTGACTCGATGACATTGAATGCGGTCTTCGTACGCGCGACTGCCACCATGTTAATATGAGGCTCAGTGGCTTGTCTGTCACTTATTGCCGGAATTGACATTCCCACAGGAACAGTAAGGCTGGTTGTTCCCGCCGAGCCCACACGGTCAAAAGCACTTTTCTGTTTTGCTCGGCAACACACATGTGTCTTTGTTGCGTTGAATGATGATGGGTTACAGGCATGGGCCGTCATCGTAACAGAGATGCCATGATATGACGACAATGTCGAACCCTTCTGTCTTTGACCATGCATTCTTGCTGCCCAAACCCACGGTTGCGATGTGGTTCCAGCAGCACCCTCTCATTCAAGACCGCCCGCTCTCATCTTGTAGCAGGTCCCTTGTCATCATCCCCCCCTCCCCCTCCCAGGTATGAAGTGCTCCGTACTCTACATAGTACGCAGCATGCAATAACGGGCGTGGAAAGCAAAGGGATTGGTTGTACATGTGGGATGGGGCAGGACAGAACAGATCCTGGCGTGCAGTGCAAGTGCAGCTTCCCACTTCCTGGCCGTGTGACTTTCTTCCGAGTCTTGAAGGTACGTATCAAACGCAAAAGTTGACGCTTCTTTCTGCTGGCAATTTTGATCTCGAGATACGTAGTGTAGGTACTTTGCAGTGTTGAAAGCATGGGGGGAACTTATTCTTGCGTCGGCTTGCGGTCGAATCGAATTGGCAGCTCCTCTTTCCCCTCCTCATTCGCTTCCCTCTACTTCAATACTCCGTACACTACACTAGGAACGGATACATCGACTTCCTCACTGACGAACAAACCAAGGGCACAATCCCCCCCAAGAGGGCCCCGGTGCCCCCCCTTCTCTTTGCCTTGGCCCCTGCCAGTTGATGACAGCAGTGTCCGGGTGGGCACTGTGGAGGTTGTTTCAATCTTGCACACCCTTGCTCGAAACGCATCAATACATTGACGTGCCTTACGTCAGTGGTAGCCGTCGAAAGACGCCCTGGTATCCACTTGGAGGGTTAAACGCACGCCGTACCACCCTTCCTTTCCCTTTTTTTCACGTCCCCGCTTTAGTTCTCCCCCCCCCTCCCCGTCGTCAGAGAAAGCCCCTGCTCTTTCTCTCTCCAAAGTTGCTTAGGATCCGTCTGAGAGAGGTATTTCTTGGCGCTCTCATCGACATTGGCCCGTGGTTGCTTATTTTCATCGCAGGCAAAGGAAGGGTGGGAGGAGACAGACGGGCAGCAAGAAAGAACGAGAGGAAGGTATTCAGTACAGCCCTCGGGCCCACTTTTTCTGATTCTTTACGCCTTTCTCCAAGGCTTACCCCTACATTTTGCCCTTTCAAACGCCCACGCTACCTTTCGAACCCGCCCTGGTCTCTCCTCTTCGCAAGGATGCCATTGATATTGTTTGAATACCAGAGGATGGGACGCCCCCAAGCGAACGAGCGTTGAACGCAGTATCCGTATGAACGCCAGATGCGAATTTGCGTGCGTTGGAGTGGGAAAGGGACAAGAGAGAGAGAGGAAGACATGAGGAACCGAACCGACGACGACAACAAGAATGCGCCCACAGTCTTCATTACAACCTGACCTGGGTATCCATACGGAATACTGGTATCCGTACTTTTCCAATGGCTTTGGGAGAGACCGGAGACCTTTTCCCAGCAAATTGACGGGAGCCACTTGAGAGGAGCCAAAGCCGGCATCTCGACGCCCGTGATACGCTGCTGTTGGTCTCGTCGATGGAGTATGGACAAAATGTCACCATTGAGAGCCCTTCTCTTGGCCTGCCCTCCACTCTTTTTACTTTCATGCTCGTCTTGACACTTTCACACTTTGCCGAGTGCAGAGACCGCAGAACGCGATGCCATCACCACCACCACCACCACATCCACATCCACATCCACCATTCTTTCGCTCCTTTCAGCCAGCGGGACGGCGAGTGCTGTCATCGGTCATTTAGCTTCGCAAGGAGGAGAATAGTATCAAAAAGTCGTTGGACCGGAATACATGGTCCCCTACCCCGGCCCTGGAGCCATTCCCCTCTCAGATATCGCGACATCCATCTCAGCCCAAGGGGACTTTGTGGCGACACTGGCGAGCAAGCGCCGTTCCGAGTCAAGCCATGGCAGGTCTGAATCTGGACATGATGCTGGCTGACTACGTATCCGGTATGGCGTAGATGGCACCTAGGGTCGGAGAATCGAGTTTTGATGTATTTTGCTCCCCTTCCTCTGCTTTGGCAGAGAAAGACCCTGCATATCTCATCTCTATTCTACAGGCATTGGCGATTGATTAACTCATGGCTTGGACGTCAGGCAAGCCAGCCGTCAGAACCCACCTCCAGAGTACGGTTAACTTGGGAATAATTCTTCTTTCCCTACTTCGTACCCCTCATCCTGACTATCCTATCCGTATACATCCGTCATGGTCGCAGGAGAAGAAGAGAAATCATAGCGCACACACCCTTCCTCCTCAACCTTGATCAGACCCGATGCTAGTATCCGTAGCCAGCATGGGGGACTCTACAAATCTGCACTTTTGGTCTGCCTTTCGTAGTGTAGATGCGCGAGAAAGGAGAGACTGCCCACCAACTCGAACCCCCATCCCGTCCCATTCCATGCCATGGCCGCCCCTCCCATAGTCTCCGTGCCCTTGCCTACCCATCATCAGTGGCGCTTTTTTGGCTTCTTCTGATTCTTCCTACCCCGAGGGAGGCGCAATGCGTATCCGCATGCCCTAGACGCCGTGACGCCGTACCCTATCCTACGTTACGCTGAGTCCTGACCTTAAGTTGACTAGCCCAGGTAAAGGCTAGTGATGGGCTGCTCGGATTGGAAGAGATGGGGGGAGAACAGAGCTCTTGCCCGTGGCCTGGCGCTAGAGGCGATGGCGAGCGGGAGAGACAGATACCGGCACCTTGTGGACTGGGGGGCTTTTCTCTTAATGCTGGTGCACGAATACCTACCTCACCTTGCCATACTCTGCAGCAAGGTAGGTAAGGTAGGTAGACTTGCAAAGTCCCCGTACAGTACTTTGGTAGGTGGGCGAAAGGGCAGCATATGCTCGAGCGTGCTAGCCTTGCCCAAAGTATAGACGACGTACTCGGGTACTTGGGACGGGACGTGGTCGAGGCGTCGACAGCCGCGCTTTACGTTGGTAGTTCTACCCGTCGGGCTTGGTACCTGCGTGGCGCGCACCTGACTTGGACGGTACAAGCCTGAGCCCGGCTCTTCACCTCGCAGGTTTCCGCATCTGTAGTGCGAGCGGATACCGCTTTCTCTGATGTAGGTGTACGCAGTAGGTGCCCCCTCTCAGTCTCCTCACGCTGGAGAGACAGAAAGACTCTGAGAGGAGAGAGAGGTGTGTGTGTGTATGTGTGTGTGTGTGTGCACACTTTCTCCTGCCTGGCTTAGGACAGCCGGGTATCCACTTCCCATGGTCCCTGCCTGTCTCTCCCCCCTCACTCCACCCACTCCTTCTTACTCGCAAACACACCCCCTTCCCTACCGTTGTCTTCCTTCTCTCCTTCCTTGCCCGCCCCCCCTTACCCCCGGTCGAACCCCCATCCCTCTTTCCTTACTAAAGTGACCCCACCACACGTCTTCTTCCTCATCTTTCTCGCTGCCAGAAAAACCTCACCCCCTCTTCATCGGTTTCCTCACCCCACCCCTTCACCTCATCGCTCCACACCGGGCACTCTAACACCAAGTAAAGCGACATCATAGCTTCATCTGCTGTCTCTCCTGCCTGACCCGGAAGCACCACAGGATGTAAAAGCGTTGTTCCCTCGCCTCCCCCATCCCTCTTTGCGAATTCTACACCTTGACCCAATTTTCTGAACGCTCATCATCAGAGAGATCATCAGCTCCATCATCCAACCTCAAGCCCAACCACGCATTACAGACAGAGCGCTCCGCCTTCTTTCCTGCTTGCCCTGTGCTTTCGGTTCGTCACAACTGAACAGAAAGAAATAGAGAGCGCATTGAGAGGCAGCAAAATCAAAAAAAGAAGCAACTGTCTGTTCTCCGAAACTGCCCCCATATCTTTTTTCTTCCACACACAAGAACGAGAAAAAGATACTGGTACCTTTTACACCAAAAAAGCACCACGCTACGTACACTACGTACACACACATACACACACACACACACACACACACACACACACACACACACACACACAACACGGGAGAGCCCCACTATTTGCGAACTTGAGGAAAAAGGGAAGGGGAGAAAAAAAAACACACCAACGCACTTCCAATTATCGGTCGTCTTCTCCCGGCTGACTTCAGAGCCGTCCGCACTTTACACCGCACTACTGAACTACACCTGGGGTCCCTGTCACGGCTCCCCAATTGACCTCGAGACTTTTCACCAAACCGTCCTCGACACCGCAGATCTTTCTCCCATTTCGACTTCGTCCCAGGGACGTACTCCAGGTCTCTCCTCCTCTTCCTTCCTGGTCAACTTGTCAAAAATTGGGCCACCATCTCTTTCTCTCTCTCCTCTCCTCTCCCATTCTCATCCACAATCCCACATCCTCATTCACTCACTTCACACACCTCTAAACCCACGCTACGCACTACCGTGCATCCGCTCCGCTTTCGCTGGTCTACACCTACTTCGTACACAACCTTGCACTACGGAGTACTTCACTACTGTACCTCAACCTGGTCGCTCCCTCCCTCAAGGCTCCTCCTCAGCCTGCCCCCCGGTCCTAATCTGAACCATCCTGCTACCCTACCTAATCGCCCCCAACCCTGTCCGCCTCGGCCTCTTTCCCACGGGATATTGGCGCTGTCGATCACTCTGAGTCGGAGTCGTCACAGCTGTCTGCAGAGAACGAGTCTCCACACGACTCTCCCATGTCCCGCTGACCACTGTGCAACAAGCTTCATACGACTCTTGCCTGGTCGGCCCAAACGATTGGTCTCAGCTCTCAACTGGTTCAAATACTCGTGTGTCAGTAGTCCACAGGCACACACTTAAACCTCGCTGATCCCCCAACCTCAACTCACACAATTCCCACGGGATCATCCAGTTCTATCTGATCCGTAACACGACTTGGCTTTTTCTCAAAGCCGTTGCACTTGCATCCGATCAGCAAACGCTATTCCACCGGACATCTACCTTTGTTGACGCTCAACCTCGTCATCCCATCTCACCACCACCACCACCACAACCTCTCATCACCACCATCATCAACACCACCAACCATACCATCATGACTATGACATTAGATTCCCAGCAACGATTCGGACCTTTAAACACATTCGACCACATGTCTTCCTACGCACATTCATCCTCCTCCTCCTCCCCCCAGTTCTCAAACCCGTGGGCAAACACCTCATCACCTCAAGCTCCTCAGGGCTTGTATGCTCCTCACCACGGTCACTCTCTCAACTCGGGTCTGGGTTTGGACAGGTCACACACTGCTAGGACTAGCACCAGCAGCAATGCCTCATCTTTGGGTTCTTACGGACAGATCCCAGTGACGGCAGCTTCAGCAGGTAGTCTCCCCATGGCAGACCCTCTGCCTAGGTCGGACTTACTCACTCTTCCCCAAGATATCCTCAGTATCAACCGCATGGCTGCCACCTCGGCCCCTGCCTACGGTGATGCTCCCTACGCGACCGCCACTTCCCCTGTCAACGCTACTTACACGGCTTCTCCCACCCCCTACGAGACCATGGGCTACGCACCTGCTCCCATGCGCTCTACTTTCGCCCTTGCTCCGGAACCCGAACACTCTCGGAGATTCTCTCACTCGTCAGTACCCTCAACTTCCCTGGTCGATGTCACAACCCCCAATATTCTGGCCCGGCCCCATCGCAACTCAATGATTGACTTTAACAACAGAGGAATTCACCACCACGATGAGCGCAGGAGCTTCGCTGATGCCCTCGACGCAAGCCACGGCATGCTCGCCATGAGCCAAGAGACTCCCCGTAACATCTATGGCGCCCGCAGCGACAGAGCTTCAAGTGACTCGTACGGCTTCCCCTCGACGCACTCTACCAGCTCTTCCGTATCCTCCGCCTCTGGATTCGGCAACTACTACGGCGCCGACTCTGTTAGCGACTACTCTACTGCCGGCTCAGACATCGAGTCTGTCACCTCCCGGACCCTCCCCAGGCCCCACGGCCTCATGGCTCCCCAGATCCCGCCTGCGCCCCAATCCATGATGGGCCAGTTCAGCTCCAAGGTGTCGTCCAGCACGCAGAAGAAGCATAAGTGCAAGGTGTGCGACAAGCGTTTCACTCGGCCTTCTTCTCTTCAGACGCACATGTACAGCCACACTGGCGAGAAGCGTATGTTACACTTATCATCCATGCCAAGGCATATCTCCAGATTACACGTGCTAATATCAGTATAGCCTTTGCCTGCGAGGTCGAAGGTTGCGGTCGTCACTTCTCCGTAGTATCAAATTTGCGGAGGCACAAGAAGGTCCACAAGGGCGACGCTCGCTCTGAAGCTGGTTCTGAAGACCATCACTCCGATTAATCGGACTCAACTTGCCATGTCCACATGTACAACAAGCTGTAACGGCAACATTGTTGTTCTCGAAACAATCCTCGGCGAGTATGATCAGTACGAGCTCACGAGTTTTCCCGGTTCGAGTCATGACCAAAAGTCTATACCCACTCTCGACACCGAAACCCCCTCCACATCTGCAAGTGGCTCGACAACGGGGTTGTGATTTTTCAAAATTTCTCATAGACGGTCTTCGTTTTTTCATCGGTTCTCACACGATACCATTCTTACAATCGTTATAATATCCATCTATCTGCGAGCGAAAGAGACAAAAGTCAGGCGGCGGCAAAGGAATTGGCGGGCGGGTTGTCACTTTCGGATCATCATCATAAAGGGTGTCTCATGATATGTTGGAGATCTTTTCACCAATCTTTTTTTTTTTTTTTTGGCTTACTTTTACCTGCGACTATTCGAGCCCGCGGGCTCCGGAACGATGCGGCAGAGTCGACGGCGCCTCATGGCTGTGAGGTACGCATGGGAAAGGGGGAAACTGCAGGAGGAGGAAGGGGGACCAGGGCGCGGATTCACTTCATTGTCGATCGCTCAACCCCACACCACACAACCCCCAGGATACGGGCCTGGTTGGTGGCTGGACCAACCACATTCTTGTCCATTTTCGGTTTTCAAATGTTTGAAAGAGGAAGAAGATCTCCAAGAGGTCATGGAGGACCTGGCGATACCCTCACCCTTGGCGTTGAACGGATACTGGGCTGCACTCTTGTTGTTTTCTGCCTTTTGTTTTTTCATCATCTGTTACTTTGTTGCGCTCTCATCATGTCATTTCCGCCCGTTGGGAATTTCCACCAAAAGGGTCTTTTTTCTTAGATGACGAACCAGAGGTTGGTGCCTCGGCGGCACACCTCGCAAAAACTCGACCCTGTTCCCAAACCGGGAGGGCGACTTGTACTACTAGCTTCCACACACGATGATTATACCCATCTTACTAAGAAATGCCATTGCATTTTCTAGTTTGCATCGTCGAGGACAATTTTTTTTCCTTTGGACTTTTGAGACTCTTTGCTTCACGTCCCTCGTGACTTGAGCGGCGAAGGCGGCGGTGGCGGCGAGCAACGGAAATGGGTTGCGATTTAAGGAAACCAGATTAGTGGATTGGCTGATAGTGTCACTGGATATGGGTAACAACGCACATAGTACATTGCGAACAGTATAATATAATAGTAGTACGAAGAATTTCAAAAAAGAAAATTCACATGAACCATCCATCCGTAAACCGCGCATCTCCAATGGCCAAAGTTTGATAGATCGGCAACGCAAGATCAGACCACCTCTGATGCAATGAAGCTCCCTGGGCTTGTAGGAACATTCGATCGATCAATTGCAGGTGGTCAAGCATCAAATAGATGGCGCGGCGCCGAGGGCACGGGGGAACGGTTTCCCTCCTCCGCCTTTGCATCAAGATGGGGAAAACGACAACCTGCATCCCCAAGTAGACTGGCCCCCCGAGCTCCCGTGCTTCCCCCCCTCCAAAAGCGCCATGCCTGCCATCTCATCACTTATGCATCTCTCCCCGCAATGGGGATGAAGCCGAAGCTTGAGATGAGGATGTGTGTATTTGGGGCTTGGACGGTTCGGCTCTCACCGACTCGCCACCTGCCATGCGATGCGGTCTATTCGGGCAATGATATCCCAATGTCATGGCCCTGAAATTTGGAGGATTGGTAGGTATTCCGTGGTCTAGTGTGGTTCAACCACGGCGCGCGCCTTTGTCTCATCGCAAATCCAATCGCTTTCGCCGAGTGCGGAAGCTGAAAGTGTGCGTATACCTACTGCCGGCCGGCACCGCGTATGCGTGTGTGACAACCCAATGGTAGGGATAAGCCTAAATGAGGGTCGGGCTCGCTGCCTTTCTGACAAAACCCAAGGCAATGCCAGGCACCCAGCAAAACGCCATGATTTTGATAGAAAGAGGGGGCTCTTTGGGGAAAGGGGAAAGAGGCTGCGTCGATCTCTAAGAAAGGGGGGAGGGGGTTGTGCGAGTGTTCATGTGAAAACATGGGAGAAGCTGCCGCGTGGTCAACGATCGGCGCGCAGTTGCGTTCGGTACGCGGGGCGTACTCTCACGCACACACACATTGGCATGCTCGGTATATGCTAGGTATTAGGATGGGGTTGCGCCCATGGTCAGATAAGATGACCCATCTCGAACGTGGCTCGCGAATTGGCGGTTGGACGCTGCCAAAGGGTCGCTCGGGGGAGGCAAAAACCGACAAAAAGTCCTGATGGAAGTGGAGGCTCAATTCGCGACGTTGTTGTCGTCGTTGCTGGCCTTGGTCAAGGTCACCTGGTCCGGGCATGTTAGCGGCGACTTTGTTTTTGGAACAAGGCGCCGTTGCGGCAACTGAGTCGAACGCGGCGACACGGAAGGGCGGCTAAAAGGGAGGGGGTTTGCCTCGCCATGATGGAGGCGTTTCGGGGCGGAGACTCGGGGAGGCTACGGAAAGAGGCTAACGAAGACGGGGGAAGAAGCAACCTTGGGTTACGTAGATAGAGGGGAGCGCTATCAAGGATGGATATGTGCTTACGTAGTTTACGGAGTCCTCAAGGGGATCTCACCAAGACGGCACTAGGCCAACTTTGCCATGAAGTGACGGATGGCGTATGGGCCAAAACGGAGATGACTAATTTAGTGTCATGTACGACGTGGTGTTAGTTATAGTAGGAAGAGACGGATCCCAAAGAGGCCAACTAGAATGGTCAATCTGCAATTCTGCCGCAGAGACTAAGTCGTGTCGTATGCCCGTCCGTTGGAGCTAATGTATAGTATGAGCGGACCAAGAGGGACAAGGGGTGGGAAGACCAATATGAGAGAGGATACAACCTGGGAGATCGCATATGCATTGGAGGACTGACAGGTTTGGGAGGTCTCAGTGTGGAGCGCCCCGAGTATGTGAGATGCAAACGAGGAGAGCACCTAATCATTCGATGTGGGATGAAGATGAATGGAGGCTAGGAATGATGAGGGGAACTTTGTCATTGACAATATGTGGCATTACACCAAGAACTGCGAAGACGGGGGACTGGGATCGCTGGGAGAAGGGAGCAAGGAAGTAGAGCTCCGCTGAACTGGATAAGTTGGAGATGGATGGGCTGGGGATGACGATGTAGGAACCGTAACAAATGGAGACTGCGGACCTTTGTGCTGCAAGTGGTGGACAGGCCAAGGCAAAGGCTATGCAAGATGAGGCAAGCCTCAAAGTGAACCAGATGCCTGCCTACGCAGTGTGTGCTTGAAAAGACAAGCCATCGGAACAAAAGCCTGATGGCAGATGTGGGAGGTGGAGAGGGTCAACAAAAAGTATGTATCCACACCGTTATCGTCGTCGTGGTGGTTGTAACTTGTCGTCGTTCTCAGCATCGAATTGCCTCATCCCAGCCGCAAGCCCCAGCTCTTGCACCGTCCCACGGAGCCACAAGAAGAGCCAACTTCGGCGCAACCAGAGATGAAGGGAAAAGTGGATACGCGTGTTTCAGCAACATGTCAGACTCCGCACATAGGCACGCGTCGAGCAGCGAGCATCTGTTTGCTGGGATTTGGCACCAAGATGAGCTCTGATCATTTCCTGCTCGAGAGATATCCTGGAGTTAAGCTCGATCAAGCTTCGTGGTGGGCTGAACGGGAGTGATTGGATGACATTGCCTTGGGCGGGGCGATCTTGGAAGAGACGGATCCCGGCGGTGCTGAAGTCTGAACTGTGGACTGTGCTGGGGACGTTTTACATCTGATGCCTGGTGGTTCGGGCTACAATGTCGGTCATGTATCCGTCCAGAGAAAAGCGCAGTTACGTAGTACGCTCGAAAAGAGAGGTCCATTTTGATCATGGATACCTCGATAGCGCCTTGGTCCTTGGGTAGACACAGCGAACCCATTCGAACGGCATTTGGTGAAGTGGCCCGGCTCAACTTCTCGAGACGGTCGGTCTGAGTGGTTTCTGAGAGGGCTCCTCTTCCGTTGTTAGAGCCAGGCTCTCTATCCATACGAGATAAGATAGCGACCCCACTGCACACGACGTCTTTGTTTGATCCTCGGGGAGCATGGTGAGGTTACATCCAGCAAGACCAGAGCGTCAAATGTACCGCACTACCGTACCCGTACCAAGCCCGACCAAAAGCAGCAGAAGAAGGGCACAATGACCCAGGATTTGGCTGGGATTTCTGCTCGCGAGGCACCCGATTCGATGGAACTAAACGATATCCAAAACATGACTTCTCTGGAGCTTCACGTCTAATGCCATCCCAGAATTCCATGGTGCTAGGTTTCGCTAGGCATTCCACGGAGCTTGGAGGACGGCCAGCAAATGAGGTGACAAGGCGAACATTTCCAAGCCCTGCCGGACCACCGACGATCCGCCAGGTACCGACACCGACACACACTCATGTCCATCCTTCAGCGGATACGCGCGTGACAAGTCTCTGAGCCTGCCGTGACCGGCTTTCCTACCCCAGATCACGGGGACGGGGATGTCCAGTTGCGCTCCTGCAAGGATTCTGCCATTACACCATCAGAGTGATCTTGTGCTCGAATCGCGATGCAGTACGGTGCTAGCCCGTTGAAGCGCTGCGTGAAATAATGGAAGCCATGAGTGCCAGGTGCGAAGCGATGCTGAGCAAGCGAGAGACGGCATTGCTTGGCACCCGTCTCTTGATAGTGTCTTTGTCCACCATCCGAGGTTTGTGATGGCATGCGGAGGTTCCGCCCAACTAGCGAGGTAGCATGCGGTGCTCGAAATGCAGCGGGCGCGCCAACGACGGCAGCGCAACGGCAAAAAAGCTGGCGAGGCGTGAAAGTGGCCGCAGCCGACCATGGAAGGCGAAGACCCTCGAGAGTTCGCGCACCCCAAGTGTCAAGTACCTTGTGCTAGTAGGGCTCCGTCATCGAGATACCGGCGCACGAGACAGATGGCTGCTTCAGAGGGGGGAAGCCTGTTGACCTCAACGTCATGGTGGCCGCGGCACAGGCTTTTGGTCGTCCTCTCGTGTCGTGTGCGGTGATTTAGGTTGTGAGTGGTGATTGGAGTCGGTTATTCAGTTGGATGCGGTGGGTGGGTAGCAGATAGCATAGCTAGTGCCTGTAAATGCGCCGTCAAGGGTGCTTGGATGTGTGGGTGGGCGGGAGTGTGTTCGTTGTTTGGTCGACATGAAGCAGAACAGATACAGATGGGTAGTATGTAAATGTGCGTGCCCGTGCCCGCAGCCCGTGTAGCAGTGGTACGGCATCGTACCGCGGCGGCGCTGGCGGCGGGCCATTTGGCGGCCGGGGAATGTCACGGAGGGAGGGATAGGTTGGATGCAATTCGCAGGCTTCGCAATCCAGTAGCGTTTTTGTAAAAGGTGTGGCCGTACTCCGTACTGTACAGATACCCCCTCGGTTGGAGGACTCCTGGATCGAAAGCAGCCAACGAGCAGACGCGCTAGTGCGGCTAGCTGCACGCAGACCCAGCATTGGATTGGGGCAAGGCAGACGCCTCTCAAGATGGGATCTTCAGGGTCCTTCTGCTGTTCCTAGAACCCTAGGGTCTGAACGCCCACCCCGGATTTTTTGTTCGATGGGGAAGAGTCAGGCGTGGGTGTTGGTGTTGTTGATGATGGTATTGGTACACGCTTTGGATGAATTTTGGTCCACGGTCAGTTCGCAAGGGACAATGCTTGTTTCCGAACCAAATGCGATGTCATTGCTGTCTCGGCCAGTGAACGAGGCGTCCAGTGTCTGTTGATTTGATTGCATGCTCATGGGTGCGCTTTATTTGCCACAAGGCTGCCTGGGTAGATGTAAGTTGAGGTTGGCTACCAACCACAATGAAGGGGGTGCGTAGAGAAGAATTGGAGGAACCTTGAGAGGAGACGACGGTTGAAGCTGGAGGGTTGGGGACGACTTGGGGTGGCATGCTCATGTTGTCACTCATGCCTCGTCCTTGCTCGCCTTGCCGTTCTCATCAGGTCCTTCCTGTACCCTCGTAGAGTTACAAGTCGCAGATACCATACATCCTTGGCCCAGCAAGGCCGAAGCGGAGAATGACATGCTATCCTCAGTAACACGAGCGACGGGACATGGAATTCTCTGTTGGGTAACTGCATGAAGACATCACCAGCTGCTCCGTCTCCGATGCAAGTCATCGTCACTTCCAACCTCCAACACACCGCCAATTTCTCACGCAGGAGCAGTAGCGGATATGGGCAGAAAAAAGATAAAAAGGACATCACAAGTGAGCAATGTGATGGGTTCATTGACCCCCAATCGGCAGGCACGCCCGGCCGGTACTGCGGGCAGGTATCTTGCAGTGTCGTACCTGCTAAAGCTGCACTCCCTCTACCTAAGGCACATAGGCTAATAGGGTATGTGCTACCTATGCTAAAAGGCATCCGGAAGGAAGAGGCACGTCTGCACTCTGTCTGCACTCTGTCTGCACGGGAAAGCGAAGAGGGTGTGGAGGATGGGTGGATGCCGTGGTTCGTCGTTGGAATTAACAACCCGGACGCGGTGACGTCGGTGGCTTCGAGAGCGGGACTAGAGCGGGGATACTGACTCTGTAGTATTCCCACCCTGAGCCGGCATCCACAAACGTCATTGTGCCACGGCCGTCATGGAGTCCGGCCCATCTGACTGGCCTACGATTCGCCAATGGAGAGGGGGGCGAATCCAGTAAATGTCCAAGATCCAAGGCGGAGTACGTACTTTTCAGTACTGCGTACACACCCCTCTTTTCCACAGCTACCAAAAAGAAAAGAAATGCAACAACCAATTCTAGCTAATGCATGCAAGGTAGGAAGGTATCACGACGAAGACCAAAGATGCCTGCCTCAGATCCCAAGGCGGTGCTTCCTTCATCTCTGACCTGATGGATATGTCACTGAAAATTTGTTACAGGAAAATGAAGAGAGCAGAAAATCGTCAATTCAGTTCCATGCCACTCCAAAGGACCCTGCCACCGGCCCCAAAATCTCTAATTGACCCCACCGAGAGAAAATACTGTGCACCATCCACGAAACCAGAGCAGCTACGGGGTACCGAGTATGGATAGCCATACCTTATTCATTCGTACGGCGCAGGCATAGTGCATGTTCTCTCAACCGAAGTTTCATGTTCCCTGTCGACGCATTTCATCTCATCAAAGAACGAGGGAAGAAGCCAACCGACCCTTATTTCCCTGGTTTCTATTTTTCGCAACCTCCTCCACCCTTTTTCAAAGTTCACTTTGGCACCTCCACCCATCTCGAAACACAAGATCTGCCGCAGGCCCGCAGCTCAATTGATGCCAACCCTCATGGTCCATGAACCATTCGGCATCCTTTCGTCCCTTGACAGCAGTGGCCACAGGGATGTCCGTGTCTCGTCTTTACGCTGCCCGTGAATCGCAGTCGTAGTTGCAGTCGCAGTCGCCTCGTCTCTTGGGACGGAACCATCAAGTAGGAAATAGGGGTCGAGGCATATTCCTGGCAAACATTGCCCACTACGGATACTCTACCAGACGACACAGCGGCATGCCTTTCCAGAAGAGCCCGTGTTCCTGACCACCCACTGACCGCTAGCTGCGCAGGAGACTTTGCGCCCTGCAGGCTGCGGTACCAACTGCCCTCCATTGACAAACAGAGGCACCCAATGTCCGGACGGATACAGCGTTTTGCCTGTCTCGAGCTCCAACAGTGACGCGCACCTCACACCCTCAAGGCGCCACCTAACACCATGGCATTTTCGTAGATGTCCATGTTCAGGCGCCAGGAAATGCCATTGTCCTGAGGCGTCGAGCAGCTTACGGAACCAAGACCAACCGTGTTGCACTGCCATCGCGCCTTCTGCAGCGTCTATTCGTACCCCCCCACACGCCGTGCCCCCTTTTGTTTACTTTGACGGACCCTTAAGAAAGGAAAACAACGGCGGAACGACGCGGCCACACCCTAGCCACCGCAATGCCAATGCCCTGCAA